TCGATAACCCAGAAGATTTTCTATTTTTGACTCGGGGTACTTCCGAAAGTTTAAGAAAAATTTTGAAACAAAATGGCGCAAAAAGTTTTCCATGGAAAAATAACATTAATTTGAAAACTTTTCCGAAACTTTCGGAAGTACCTCGGGCCACAAACAGAAAATCTTCTGGGTTATCGAGTGTGCTGAATACGAAAAACCACTTTTCAGCAACTCTAAACCAACTTTACTTTTTTTCCCGTGATATGAAGCAGTTTCGAACCCTCTGAAAAGATAGCCCGTGTTCTAAAGTATAAATTCATAACAAAAGATAATTAAAGTTCGCAAAAATAGATGAAAAAACTTTATTTCTAAACTTTACCAGAAAGGTCGATTTTGTAGTGCCATCTCGTGTTCTCTCTGTAATTCGAGAACTAATGAATTTTGAATGACGGTATTAAAATAATTATCTAGTTACATATAGACCTACAACTGGTATAAATCCCATTTAAATCTGTAACATCAACAATCACTGTCTGTCTTAGTCTATCAGATAGTGGCTTTTAATTAATTGTCACATGTTTCTGGGGGTAAAGAAACATCTGTAAACATATAAAGAAGCGAGAGTACAAGTCAAGTAAGAGACAGAATCCATTACACTAAACTTTTCTCTTCTTGCAAGTAGTCAAACTTTTCCGCTGTTACGCAAGAGTTACGATATCCTATCATTGCAAGAAGAACCTTTTGATTACTATGCGAAAGAATATATTTCTTTCTTACTTTGAGTCATGTAGCTCGCCATTAGTACTCATTATATTGTCAGAACATAATCAAGACGGCGAATGAAACCTTTTTGCTACAAGCGAAAGTTGTTATCGAAGTAATAATAAATAATAAAAGGAATGAAAAAAGAAACGAAAGAGTCTAATCGAAAAGGTGCAAATACAGTCACATGTTTATAACAGAAACAACTGAGTACGTATATGCAAAATATTTCTACAGTTTAAAGAAGTTTTTACCAGAGTTGATCACCTGCATAATTTTTCACCCTTGCGATTTTTCCTACTGACCACTATCAGTCTGTAGTACACACTGATAATTATAGACTGTATCACCAGTTACGATCCTTGTTCTATATTTTTCTCTTTCAGTTATCGTTATAGTCTTTTGTCATCTTCCATATACTAGAGCCTTAGCGCACAGCACATTTTAATGCGGTGCACTTGTCGACATTCAGACGCATTTTTATGATAGAACGAAAAAACAGCAACGTTTCGCTTATTTGCGTGGGGATATCCTGCCTATAAAAGGCAAACGGGTCAAAAAGTTTGAACGAAATGTGCGTTATCTTTATCTTCATCATCTTTCTCGTCTCGTGGTTACGGTATATTCAAAGGAATATTCTTTTTTTCTAAAGAGTGAACTGAATCCACAAAACACCGCCACGCACATGAAGGAATTGTCTGATGCAATGAAAAATCCTTTTCTGCAGAATCACATTCCACATCCCGCTTTGTTTCTCTAATAAAGAAGAAATTGTACAACAATCGGTTAAAATATTTTATTTTGTATGAGTGAAAACAAAAGTTTCTCATACGTCATTTCAATAGAACACGAGGAAAATGCGAGAAAAAAATCCTGTTCTTTCCTTCCACATAGGTAATGTCACAATTGTATTCCTGTATGCGAATAAAAAAGATTTGCTATACGCTATTGCCTTAAAGGCTCTATTACATGCAATAAGAGCGAAATTAATTGTTTTTCTTTATTCTATATTTTTCTTTCAGTTTAGTTTAAACTTTATTCATTTAAGAAAAAGAAATACGAATAGTCATTCTACACAGATGCGGTCTAGGCCATTATATCATAGGAAAATGACATATAAATGAAAACGTTTCTCTCCCTCATCTTAAAATGTGTAGTAGACATACAAAATAACTCTTAGTTAGTTTCTTTTACTTAAGAGATCATTCTGACCTTCAGTGTGATCAATATTTCTTTTGGTCTTCTCTCTCTTTTTGTTCTCCACACAAAAACGTCTTTCCCTGCAGTGAATTCAGGTGAAATCTTCTCCCCTGCAGGGAGTGCAGGAAGGAAAATGTTTTCTTTATCCGCTGGTCGTCGGTGGACAATTTTTTTATTCACCTGTCTGCACTGTCGGCAGCTTGCAGGCAGTTTAAGATGCAGGTGATCAGGTCTGGTTTTACCTAATTTTCAGCAAACTGAATACCGCTTCACATAATGTAATTAACCGAGTGAGTATACGGGATATTTTTTTCAGAATACAGAACTCAGTTGTCTTATATTCGGATTAAAAAAGCAGCAGAAAATGGCTGATGGTACTTCCACAGAATGGCTGGATGAAATTGGACAAAAGCCGGAGGACATGTCACTCAAACATCCAGAATACGAACGAAATGTGGCTTTGCACAAAAAAATCTATGGTTCAATGCTTGCTATGGCTATAGGAGACGCCTTTGGTGCATGCGTCGAATTTCGTCCCCATAGCTATATGGTTGCTTATCCTCTTCGAAATCTTCGAGGAGGAGGTACGTGGGGCTTGAAAGCCGGTCAGTGGACCGACGATACGTCGATGGCACTTTGTTTAGCTGCTAGTCTCATTGTTAAAAAATGTTTCAATCCATACGATCAGCTAGTTCGATACAGTTGGTGGTATAAACACGGTTATATGTCGTCTACAGGTAAATGTTTCGATATTGGAAAAGCAACAAAAGATTCACTACAAGAGTTTTCGCGTCGACAACAAAGCTTCGCACACCAAAATCAAATCTCTAAGAAAAGCCTTGACTTTCTATCAGATGGCTGTGTGGATAAATTCGAGAATGATATGAAGACAGCATGCAGTATTCCAGGCGTAGCTGGAAATGGTGCGTTAATGCGTCTCGCACCTCTACCATTATTTTTTCATCGTTATCCATCAGATGCAGTATTCTATGCTGGCAAAAGTGCATTACTCACACATGGGGATAGGAAAGCGTCTGACGCCTGTCGTTACTATGCAGCACTGATATGTGCCGCTTTTCACGGCTTTAAGAAAGATAAATTATTAAATAAAAAATTCTATAAAAATGTTTCTCGATTGGGTTGGTTCGGTAATGACCCGTTACATCAGGAAATAATCAACATTGCCGAAGGATCGTTTAAAAAGCGAAAGGGTTATGACGATGGAATACGAGCTGGCGGCTATGTTATAAAAGCCCTAGAAGCAGCTTTGTGGGCATTTTGGAGTGACAAGGAATCATTTGAAAAAGGTGTTCTTTTAGCGGTTAATTTAGGCGACGATACTGATACGATTGCTGCCATATATGGACAATTGGCTGGAGCGGTATACGGGTATGATCGTCTACCTTCAGAATGGGTAAGTCAGATATACGGCAAAGATTTGATCGAATGCTTATCTGATTGGATACAATACGAGGGGAACAAATGGACTAACAGAAAGAAACCTGAAGTACCGATAGTTAACAGTAGTTGCTTCTAAGTACATCCTGTACGTTCGTACATACACTCATTCATACACATGAAATACGGAATGATATTTCATTTATAAATAAACTATACTTCAGACTGTTCGTTTCTATCGTCTTCGGAGAAAACACATTCGAAGATACCTCAAGTTCTACGTGTTACTACACTAGAAAGAATTTTGCATGGCACATAGTATGAAAATCGAAAAGCGTGACAAAAATCTTAAAAGGATATGGTGATAGGTCAATCGAGCAACTTTTCGTAAGAAAATAATTTTCTTATGCTAAATGCAAGTAATACAACAATGCAGAGCCCATTTTAGAATTTCTTGGTATTCCAAGAATAAAGATGATATCTCGTATCTCTTCACTTTTTGAAAATGAGTATAGTTAACGCAAATTTGAAAACTGGTGTGCAATGTAAAACTTTTTTTCTATAATTTTTTGGGCTTTTTTTGACGAAATATTTTTGAAACAAATTATCAAACTTAAACTAAAGCAGTTCATTTATTTTTCTTTGTTCTCAAGTTTCATCACACTATTAATAAATTTTATCGATTCTTCTCAATTCGTAGGAAGACATTAATTAGAAAAATGATCAGCCTTGGATGCATGAAGATCTACGAACACTATCAAATAAAATAGTATTTTTTATCACTTTTTATATGCTGATTGACTCGAGATTAAGATAAGTGTTAAAACGTCCGCATGCGAAAAATATTGTTAAAAAGCAGAAGCAGCTTGAATTTTTTGATCTTACAGTTTAATTTCATCATTAATGAGTGTTGTTCTGAATTATATTTTTACTTTTGGGAGCAGGTACACAAAATTGTACGTGAAAAAGGCACTGTTCTTTAAATGACTAAAAGATAATTTCGTTGTACATGCATGCGGCCTACAGTGGGCATTTTCTGCATAGCAGGCACATGAGTATGTGGTTGGTTAGGGAACCTTAAAGATCAACGTCTTCTAGGTCTTCAAACCACCTTTCGAATGGCTAATACAGAATTTGTTTCTGGGGAAAAAGTTTTCTTTCAAATTTTGGCCTTTGGTGGGGCCCTCGAAGATGGGTCCCCAGGCGGAATTTTTTCGATATTAAGTTTTGTTCAGAAAGATATTGTTTTATAGATAGCTTATTGCAGTTTTATGAACTGATTCTGAATATCACCTTAGTTTTTAGTAAGGCGCCACTAATGCAAAAGTTTAGCATATATTTATTTTTGGTTTTCTTATACATTATTCGATAAAGACTTTCACGCTGATCAGGAATATCACCTTTGTAGCCTTCTCAGTGCACGTTTCCACGGAGAGAAATTCGAAATACTCTGAGGGTTTATCGAGGGTCTGTCGAATATACAGTTCCTCAAAATATCGGTTTCACCCATATCTGTTGTCAACAAGTCATTTTCAATCATATGGCATCACTTGCTAGAAAATTATGGGTTTCTGATCCAAACCAGACACGTGTAGTATTGTATTGCTAGGCCAACAATGATCATTTGATCGTTGACCTTTTTATTCGGAATCAATAAAGATATAAACCAACATGTGTAGTAGTCGATGGTATCTATTTTCCAGAACTTCTGAGCACTGGAAGCTCTCGAATTGAATTGTACACTTAAGTACTGGAAAGAGCACACAAAGAAATCGCTGAAACATTAAAATCTTGTTTAATGAATTGATGAGGTTTACATAGATAAATTAATTTTTTTCTAAAAATATTTTGACTAACTGATTTCAAACTCAGTTTCTACCCATTAAATATTATTACTTTTAGTAATTTTTTTCCATCGTGTATCCCAGATTTTACTCTTTCGAACGGTTTATAAATAAAAGTTGTAGATAAGTATCAAAATATACATGAAAAAGTATCATACAAACACTTATTGAGCGCAAAAAACAGGTTGAAGTTAGAAAACTCTCGTTTTTGATAGAAGAAATCGTCTCATGAAGTTAATGCAAAAGTTTAGCATATTTTTATTTTTGGTTTTCTTATACATTATTCGATTAAGAATTTCACGCTGATCAGGAATTTCACCTTTCTAGCCAGCCTTCTCAGTGCACGTTTCTACGGAGAGAAATTCGAAATACTCTGAGGGTTTCAATAACGTGTTTCGAAAAAGTTGAATATTCTTTCTCCTTTGTATTTTGAACCTCCCAAACATTTTTGTCGGATTCAGCATTGAAAACCGAATTAGGAAATGTGTTTCCACAATTTTCCACATGTAATGTGATTGTAGGAAAAATTCGTTTATGAGCATAGCTCGAAAACGAAGAGTTCGCCACAAACAGCTATCTAGTTTTTAGTGTTAAGAGATGGAGCTCTAATTCTTGCGCCATTCTATCGGTCTTAATTTGTAGTATAAAAAAAAATATATGTTTCGAAATGTTTCGTTGCTTTTCATTTTTTGGTGAAAATTTCAGTAATTTTCGATGTGACAATTCGGAAAAACAAGGGTGGTTGGATAGGGTAAAAAAGTATATAATTCGAATCGGTTTTCGACGCAAGAATTAGAGCCCCATCTTTTAACACAAAAAACTAGATAGCTTTTTGTGGCGAAGTCTTCGTTTTCGAGCTATGCTCATAAACGAATTTTTCCTACAATCACATTACATGTGGAAAATTGTGGAAACACATTTCCTAATTCGGTTTTCAATGCTGAATCCGACAAAAATGTTTGGGAGGTTCAAAATACAAAGGAGAAAGAATATTCAACTTTTTCGAAACACGTTATTGAAACCCTCAGAATATTTCGAATTTCTCTCCGTGAAAATGTGCACTGAGAAGGCTAGAAAGGTGATATTCTTGACAGCATGAAATTCTTTATCGAATGATGTATATAAAACCAAAAATACTGTTATTCGAAGGCTTAGTCTATCCTGTCTTTAGTCTGTTTTCTGCTGTTTAAGTGTTTTGAACGAGATCACACCATGACTTTTATGCATAAAAGTGGGCTTCAGAAAATGACATATTTCTGGGCTATGTACAATACTTCGTTCGGAAGAAATGTAAAGGCAGGTGTGACTCATTTACTTTAAAGATAGAAACAAATAGCAACGAAGGGCTTTAGGGTAACCTGCGTTAGGGTATCAAAATTATTTCATGGGATATACAAACTGGGAAGATTTCTCAAATTTTCTTACCGATTTATATAGCACCAATTGCAGTAGTTTGATATCCTTTATCATCACTATATTCAACGGTGATTGACGAAAATAATTTAGAGAATAATTCCTAGATGGCATAATTATTTAGTTTTACATATTTAGTTTTAAAAAAAGTAAACCTGACGGTGACTATAAAAGCTCTCATTAGAATTACTGATATTCAAAAAATTATTCGTTGGATAATCATATTCAATAGAACTAAATGCTAAATAAAACAAAAGCAGAGTAAAATTCACTTGATGTGTATTCAAAATACAATCCATTGTTTTGTTATCGATATCGGTAGTCGACTTTTCACAAATAAATGTGCTGCTTGATACAGTTTGTGTCAAGTTATTAACATTGATTGACGGCGCAACTGAAATATGAGTGAAAGTAATAATAAAAATTAAAGACAAGATATTTGCCTTGTTGTTTATTTGTATCGTGACATTGTTGGATGATCTCACATCATCCCGATTCATATTCGTTTCGTTGAGACTATTTTTCACATCTGCAATAAGAAAAATGTACCTGTTGTTTTTCTATGGGAAAAGAAGATCTTACTGTCTTTGCTTGTGCAGTCCTCCATGCTCTTATTTTGCATCAGTCGTATTGATCGAATGATGAATGTCGATCATTGAAGATGTAATAGATTTCAATAAATCATTTTCTTCGCCAGTTGCTCGAATACAAAATTTGTTTAATTACTTCATAGCATCATCGTCATTATTGAAATGAATAATATATTCCGATGATAATGAGAATGTATTGGAATTAAAATCAATACCAATGTCAGCACTACGTAAACCAGGTTTCAATATTTCTTGAGCCACAGGATGAATCTAAATGAGAACTGATGTGATTAATTGCAGATTTGTCTATCTTTGCTGCTAATTCAGGTGTTGGCAACAGAAACTGTTGCTATAACTTTTCATAACCATTAATATTCAAATTTAATTTCGTCAGTGCTTCACGTGCTAAATTATTTCGTTCAATTTGATTTGGTGTTGCCATGGCATAACTTGAACGAGTTCCATTGATGAATCGATTTTTATCGGAGGATTGGTATATCAATTCATTATCGATTAAATACTCGATCGTTGACGTCAATCGATCCTTATCATTATGAAATTGTCGATATGAATTGAATGTTGATGTACAAAAAAAGACAAATTTCGATGATATTATGGTAAAAGCGTCCCGATATACTATACCATCATTTTCAATTGTTGCCTGTGTTTTTTTTGCTTTTTCTCTTGTACGCTAAAATTTCCAAAGGAATAAGAAAGCTAAAAAACAAGATGTGTCAAAAATACCTTTTTAGAACATGAGATGGTATCGGAAATATATTCAATTTTGTGACAACAACAAAGAACGAAAAGCGCAAACGCGAGACGCAAACAACCGGTGTTACAACATCATTCAGTCAAATGTCAATTTCGCAACTTCCTACGAACACATAAGTTTTGCTATGATCTTATAGGAATGTCTTACAAGGCAAAGAATCTTGTACGAAGAGAAAAAAATGAGACTTCCGTATTACGAATGAAGTACACACTTTACTATAGTTCATTTAAAATACGGAAATCTCGTTTTTTCCCTTATCTTGTACGCATCTTACAATGTGATTTTATATAAGGTTTTTTTAGACACGATGATTTTCGTCTGATCTTGTTCGATCATGAACGATCAGAGGTAACATGTTAGAAATCTTACTGTGCGATTGTTTGTTGCGGGTGCATTTCTCTGGATTATTCGCATTTGATTCGCTTTTAAGTTGATATTCACAGTTGCTTTTTGAATTTCTGCTCGACGAGCATTTAACTTGTCTTTAGCATCGGCTAGTTTATAATTATTTTCCCTTTTCTTATCGGCTTCAGCACAATGCTCGCTTGACAATATGTCTTGTTTATCTCGTGCAGCATTAAATTGTTTTTCAATTTCTTTGCTATTATTATTAAGTCGATCAATGTCGCGCGTATAACCTTTTACTACATTTCTACTTTCGTTCACTTTTTGTTCCGTTTGCTGACATTTCCGTTCTTGTCTTTCTCTTTCACGCGTGATTTCACGCATTTTTCGGTTTTTAGCCTTCTGTTGACGTTTGTTTTCTTCAAGTGCACTTCCGAGTTCGGCTCTTTGCTGTTCGTAATACGCCCGCTAGTTTTTTTGAGCGGCTAATGCATCTTGTTTACGTTCTAATTCAGACTTAAATTGATTTTGTTCGTTCCTTTTCTCAAATAGTTGCCGTTCATTAGTTTGAAGATCACGTTCGTATCGTTGCTGATCATTTTCAAATCATTCTGCATCCGATTGCAGCTTTTTCGATTCATTTTCAAGTCGTTTCGCTTCAGTTTCGAGCTTTGTGAGTTTTTATTGATTCTCTTTCAGTAGTTTTTGTTGAGCGTGCATGTCTCTCTCCAGTTCCGCCTCACTCTTATTGAGCATTCCAAGAGTTGTCTCGATATTAGCAATTTTACCTCGTATTGTTGACTCTTCATTACGTTTAGCAGCTGCTTTTTCTTCAAGTCCTTTGATTTGTTGTTGTGTTGTATTGATTTGAGTTTGGATCCCGTTTTGAGCCTGTCTTTTAGCCTCGATTTGTTGACGTTTTGGTGCTAACTTTTGTTTTTCATCCTGATATTTCTTTTTGGCGGTTTCAAGCTCAGTCGATAGCTTTCCGGACTTTCCTATTGCTGTAGTCTTTTGAGTTTTGAGCTTATTATAATCCGCCTGTGTATTGGTGACACGAGCATCTGCGATCTTGAGCCGAGTTGTATCTCGTTCGACTAGTGTCTGTTTATTATCCACTTCACTTTTTAATTTTTGATTGATTTTCTAAATTTTTTGATCGAGTGTGCATATCTTGTACCAGTTTCTTTTGTTCATTGACTCGAGCTACTGCCGATTTCACCCGTTCTTTTTGTTGATTAAGTGCCTGGTTGCGATCTGTAAGATTGGTCTTTTCCTGTTCAAGCTTCTCTTTTGCTGCATTCATTTTTTCACGTGCTTTTCCATGGTCCGCAACTTTCTTTTGATGAAATGCTGTCTTCCGTTGAAGTTCATTTTTTGTGGTTTGTAGCTCTCCTCGGAGCGTTGCGATAAGTGCTTTCGCTGCAGCTATAGCACTGGCTGCAAGCAATGGATTTGCTATAGTTGCAGCGATTAGAGCGCTAAGCGCCGCCTCAGTTGCATTCAGAAGTTGTTCTACCATCTGCAATTAAAGTTTTGTGTTGTCTTCCTCTTGTTTCGCTTGTCGTTCGGCTTCTTCGGCACCTCTTGCTGCCTGAGTACATTTGGCAAGCTCTTGTTCAGCATCTATTACACACTGTTCTTGATGTCGAACGCTGGCTTCAGCCTCAGTTACCTTTCGCTCGTCATCCTTTTGTGCGATCTCTCTTTCTTCGAGATGCGTCTCTTCTTGTTTTAATTTCTTCGCTCATTGGCGTGTTCTTTGCGCTCATTTTCACATTGAATCATATTCGTTTTAAGATTGCCGAACTCTTGTTGATTCTTTTCTAATGCTGTTTTTATATTGCTCGCCTGTTTTTGAGCACACTGAAGTTCCTGCTCTTTTGTATTGAGAGCTTCATCAATTCGTTTTTCTTCATCTTGACATTCATTCAAACGATGTTGTAAGTTTTCAACAGTATTTCTAAATTAAAAGCATTTCTGATTAATCTCAATTGCCTGATGGAGGATGAAAAGCAATGAGATATATCCATCGTCTCGATTTTGGAAATTCAGGCACCTCAAGGAAATCAGGTGAGATTTTTTTAGTTGTTGGAGCACTTGCGTCAGGATTGTATATGTGAGTCATTGTAACTCCTTCAGTGAGCTCGCATGTCACAATGCCCAAAGATATCCTCATTGTAGAATGTCCTGAATTTCTCGAAGTCTACTTCAATTGCTTCTGAATTTACAGTATTCGTCAAAAGTCTCGGGGCATGTGAAAATCCAGGTAAAATTGAACAGTTTTCTACCAAATTTTTAGTAAAGATAGAGCTCGAAAAACTGTAATTCCAAGCACGAACCCGAGCTCGATTGATCGAATTAAAGATGGAGTTAGAGTCCCAACACTACTTCTAACTTTAATGAACTCAATCTCGATATTCGAAGAGTTTTCAATCTGGTTCAGTCATCATTTTGAAGATTAAAGAAACAATAATCTTCAACATGATGACCGAGCCAGATTGAAAACTCTTTGAATATCGAGATTGAGTTCATTAAAGTTGGGAGTAGTGTTGGGACCAGACATGTGCGCCGATAAAAAATTTTCGGCGGCGGCGAATGAAACTTTTACCATGGGCGGCGGCGGCGCGAGACTATGAAAACTTTCTCCGCCTTCGGCGGCGGCGGCGGCGTGTAAATATTAGTCATCGGCGGCGAATCTCATAATTTAAGTTCTAAAACGAGAACTTTAAAAAAGTTCTCCTTCTCTTTCATTTCTGGCACGTTCTTCGCGCCCTGACTGTATCTGTACGTTGCCGTATACGAAAAGATAGAAACGCGCTGCACGCTAAATGCCTAAGGTAAGAACGTACTAACAAAAATAGTCAAAATTTTCGGAAAAAAATTTTCTCCGCCCTCGGCGGCAACAAAAGTTCAACGACATGGCGGCGGCGGCGGAAGTCAGAAAAGTTTTTCTCCGCTGTCAGCGGCGGCGGCGAATCGGCGAAACGGCGCGGCGGCGCACATCTCTGGTTGGGACTCTAACTCCATCTCTAATCCGATCAATCGAGCTTGGATTCGTGCTTGTAATCACAGTTTTCGAGCTCTATCTTTACTAAAAATTTGGTAGAAAACGATGTACCTTTACCAGGACTTTCATATGTCCCGAGACTTCTGACGAGTACTGTAAATATTTTACCCAGGACTTTTTCACTGCTGTTTATCAACTGAATGAAATGTGTCTTCCGAAAGCTACATTCCGCATCAAAAAGAAATAATCAGGAGAGTCATTATAAACATACCTGAGTGTTTGAACAGTATTCTTTAGAGTCTGTCTCGTAATCTTTTTCTCGAGCTGTAATCTCTTGCTTCAGCTTTTCTATTTGATCAGTCAACGGCTTTAAATTTTCGCGTTCTCGGTTGGCTTCATCTTGGAATTGTTTTGCTTCCCTTTGAGCCTGTTCAAGACGATCTCTGACTGTTCTTAATTCGTTTTCAAGCTTCTGTTTCATTTGCGCAAGTTCCTCCTTTTGATTACGTTTCATATCAATAATCTCTTCAATTCGAGTAATCATATCTTCGATTCGATCGATCTCCACGCGGAGCTTCTCTTGCTCTTTTTCGATTTGTTCTCGTCTATTTTGTATTTGAACCAGTGCTAGTTTAATTTCTTGTAACTTTTCAATGACTCGTTGAAAATCTTCTTGAATTCTTTCAATTTCATGCTCGATGCGATTTATTTCTTATTGTAGTTGTTGTATCCGAGCATTTGCCTCTTTGATTTCTTGCTCGAGTTGTTGAATTTGCCTTTTAGTTTCAGCAATTTTCGCATCAAGTTCCTGTTTTGTTCGTTCCAGTGCTTCCTCCTCTTCTCGTAGATTCTCTAACTTTTCTTCATATTCATGTATTTGTTCTTTGAGTTCTTCAAGTTCTTCAGTTTGTTTTTCAAGTATGCGCTCTTGTTCATTTAATTCATCCTGTTTTTGATCTTTTTCATCTTCTAATCGTTCCTGTTCTGCACGTAATTGATTTAGCTGTGTATCAAGTGGAGCAATTTCTTCCTTTGCCTGTCGCATTTGTTCTTCCAATTCTTGGAGAGGTTTTACGGATCTTCTCTCTTCTTTTTCCATTTCTTTCATGATCTGTTGAGCGGCTCGAAGTTCTCGATTAGCTCGTTCACGTTCTTCTTGATAGCGATCGATTTCTCTTTGGAGATCATCAATATCAGCTGGTAGTCGATTGTTTGCTAAGTATTCATCAGCATCAAAGTCATCATGATGTTCGGCGCTGCTTTTAGCCATTTATCTACAAAATACGAAGCTATTTTTTAAAAACTCACCGCAAGATATGTTATCATTGTTAAATTTAGAAAGTCTTTCGCTTTTATAATTTGAAATATGCACTGCTTGTTCGTGAGATTCTTGTCGACTGAACAAACAAACAAGAACTTGCCGGATAAGGTTGAGTTATCCGTATCAAAAACTGCATTCCGATTTATTTAAACATGTTTTTCGACGCCGAACAGTATACACCTAAGATTAATCGTCTTCAGTGTTTGTAGAAGTTGTCACCATATACTTGTTTTCGACCATCCCGTTCCCCTATTTTGGAATCATCTTTAAAAAACTGTGGGAAAGCGTTCTCGGATGTTATTTGATCTAACGAGTGAAGTGGTGAAACTTCCGCTCTACACAACTGTATATATGAATTTGTTCTATCGAATCACTTTCAACATAGGGCATGAAGGAGTTTCTTTTGTACTTACTCGTTTGGAATTCAAGAAAATATTCGTGCGTCAAACGCTTTTCAGGACCGTAGCATACTATTACCCAAATTCGTCTGAAACTTCTTCTCAACAACTTTTATTATATGGTACAGCAGTTAATTCAAAATTGGCAGAAACCATACTCAAAATCACACCATATTTAGTTGACTTGTTTTATACTGATCTGCATCTTGCATCCGATCTAGGCTTTATGTAAGACAGAACGATATCACACCAAACAGCGGATTCAGATTGGGTATCCACCATCGAAATCTGGACCCGGGTAGCAGCGTCCGACATGGGTCAGTTTTTCGTGACTCGACCCGAGGTCAAAGATAGTTTTTGGCCAATCAAAGCCAGTTTTCTTCAGTCACGAAAAAAAGAGAAATCATTATCTCATTTAAAATCAATGTTTATCATATGCAAAGTTGGAAATCGGTCAATTTTTGTGACCGGACCCGAGGTCAAGTATGTTTTTCGTGACCCGACCCGACTAGAGTCGGACGCTGCCTGGTAGGCAATACTATCTACAGCCTGTGAAAATTTGTGTGCAGTACTTTATGAATTAATCTGGAAGTTCGACCATCAGACTATTGTTTTCATGGTCGATTTTCAATTTTCGGTACTTTGCTCTAAACGATGGAAATGGATTTCAACAGACAGATGCGAAGGCATCTTTGCGGTTTAGCTATTCTACGACCATCAAGTATAACTTGAGTCATACCGGATCACTAGCACACTCGAATCAGTTGCTCTTGTTGAACTCTACGAATATGTCTGTTGAAATCCGATTGGTGACCACGAAAACAACAGCGAAGTATCGAAAATCGAAAACCGACCATGAAATGAATAAGCTGATGAACGAACTGGCAGATATGTTCATAAAGTAGTCCACACAAATTTTCACAGACTGCAGATGATATTACTTACCACGACCCAGATTTTGATGCTGGCAAATATCGTGAATCAGATTTTTGATTTGATATCGCTTTTTCCAGTTGATGAAACCCAGATAAATGCAAGATGTGTCTTGTTAAGACGGTTCAACTCGATATGGTATGATTTTGAGCATGGGTTTCTGCCAATTTTGAAGTAGATATTGTAGCCTATAATAAAAGTTGTTTAGAAGGAGTTTCAGACGAATATAGGTAACAATATCCTATGATTCTGGAAAGTTGCGTTTGATGCACGAATATTTTCTTTAATCCCAAAGTGGTGAGTACAAAAAGAAACTCGTTCATACCCTCTACTGAAAGTGATCCTATAGAACAAATTCAAATAGGCATGTAATTAATTGCTCAGTATTTTATAACAAGTGCTCGGTATTTTTTGCTCAGTAATTAATTTAAAAGGATTTCGCATTTAAAGGCATGGATAAGTGTGTCGGCCTTCCTGTACAACTTAGCGGTCGCAAAAATCATCCGGAACCATGTTTCCAATTCCGGTTATTAAAAATGAGAGAAAAGCAGTTCCGATTTGGTTTCAAAAATATAATGTGAAACCTAAACCATTAATCATCAGACAGATATGAAAATTTTAAATATATTTTGAGAAATTTTCACTATTGAATTATTAAAATTACACTCCATCTCGCACCCGTAAATTACTAATTTACTGAGTAAGCATGAAGTTAACGAACACTAAATTTTATACTGATAGTTTGATTTAGTTACTGAGAATTTTGCACATAATTCTGAGCAGACATGATAGTTACGGAACACTAAATTTTACTGATCATGTGGTTTATTTACTGGAAATTTTGTACATAATACTGAGAAAAAAATTATATTGACCGTTTATAAAAAAATATTGAGTATTTACAAGAAAATAATGAGCATTTAATTTGTTCCCATTCAAATATACAGTTGTGTAGAGCAGAATGTGACGGTAAGATCTTTCAAGAATCTTATAGCACGAGTTGGTGTAAGATGTCAGAGACGATGATTTTTTGTACGATTTCGTCTCATTTTACAAAATCTTACCTCTGACTTTTTGATCTTGGGAGTAAAAGCTGAGTGAATCCAGGTCAAAAAGTCAAACGTAAGATCTTGTAAGATCAGATGAAATCGAACAAAAAATCTTGTTCTCAAAAATCAAACACTAAATCGTACTAATGGATTTTTGAAAGATTTTACTGCCAATTAAGATTTTCTGTAATATTATAGTGATATCTTACAGGACAACAAGATCTTTCAAGAACCTTATAATACAAATTAGCATAACATTTCTGAGACCACGATTTTTGTACGATTTCTGTCTGATCTTAGAAGATTATATAAGATCAGAGGCACGATCTTGTAAGATCTTACTGTCGGATTGTCTGACCTGGAAAGAGCATCAAACGTTTTGACATAGTCGTATTTCTCGCCAATAAAGTGAATATTTCTTAGATCAATCTCACTTGATGATGTATTTAAATGGGTACTGTATGCACGGGAAGCAAAGACAATAATATGGTTTTGGTGCGTTAAACTTGAATCATCCAACAATAAGATGTAATTGAACGACATGAATGCTAAGTTACTATTTTCAGGAAATTCAAATGAAGTGAGGAGGAGAAAAATTGGGAAATTTAAAACAATCTTTCGAACACTGAGTGTAGAAACTAAACTTTGATATAAAAAGCATGTAGGAATGAAGTGTAATTCTGTCGTCGTTACAGATATCCAAATGGGGAAAATCGCCCACTATGGAAAAAAACAATACATGGGTCACGATGCTTCTTTCGTTCTTATGCTTTGATGATTGCATTAGCAGGGAGAAAGAAGAAGAGCAATTAAGTGAGAAGTTGATGCATTTTTTCTTTATAGAGAGTAAACAGAAAAATATGAAGTATCTCCACTGTTTTTATAGGCCTTTTTACTTCCCAGTTCTTCTCCTTTTCAGTTCCTTTTTTGAAAAGAGCATCAAATTCCATTCTCAATTGCACAGTAAATGTCGACGCATCTTGTTACACTCAGTGAAAGGAAAGTGGTGGGTGTTTACTCATACACAAACAACATTTTGTGCTTTCTATAGGTGAAGGAACTGACAGTTTAGTCAAGGCATGACGTTGGCAAAAGAAACAAAGAGATAGGAAGTAATTTAAGCTTTCCAATCGATTCTACTTTCTGATGCATAACCATCGCACAATCCAGATAATTTCTAGATTGCTCTTTTATCTTTTTTCTTTTTATTCAACAATAAAACGAATTTCAGATAAAAATGTTGATGAACTGGAAAAACTTTTCGAAGTGAATAATAAAGAAAGTGAATTCTCAAAATAACTTAGCAAACGTTATTGTTTCTTAATAAAAATTTATCCAGTCATTCTTCTTTAGAAATCGATTAGATCAGTTCAAAAAACTACTTTGAAATAAAAATGAAATCATTTCAAATGATTTGATGATTGGTATGAGTGTTAATATGATATTTATTCGCTGCTTTCATTCATACCCATCTTTAACAAATAATCAAACTTTTTTTTAAATTAGCTGTCATTTAATTTTGATATATTTCGGCATCTAGTAAGTTTGGCTTTGGCGAAGTGTTTGTATTAAAAGATGCAGTTAAATCCATCAAAAGTACCAAGTTAATATTTGATGACGAAGAAATCGATGCATTACATAAAAATCTACACGAAATAATATGATATTACAAAAATATGGGATATTAGCAATAACACTTTCTCTCACAGATGACCAACGCTAATCTTCAATCAATACCGGGTGGCCCATAAGTAAGGAAACAAAGTATTTTACAAATATCTTAACAGAGATTCATCTTACAATCTTGACTCTTTTTTAAAAGATGCACCGCGAAAAGCTCTACAAAATCTGTAAGAACCAATTCCTGTTGACGTGTTCTGATGATGCAGTAGTGTCAAACGCGAAAGTTGAATTCAACTATTCCTTCAACTATTCAACTGTTCAACTATTCAATAGTTGAATTCAACTTTCGAGTATTGCATATATGGATCAACAAACAGCGTCGACCTAGGAAGAAGACTTTCTCTTCTTCAAATAAAAATAATCAATCTCTTTTCATGAGAAAGAGAAAGAAAAAAGACCTCTTTGCCTATGCAAAAAAATCACTGAAGCAATGTTTTGTTGTCGATTGTTTGTCTCAGGTAAATCAAAGTGAATAGGACAAGATAAAACGAAGATCGTATAACTTTCTTTCTACGAATCAAAACCCTGACGAGTTTACAAATCTTGGTGATTTTTCGAAAGCAGAAATATTTATTTGAATTCAATACGAGGTGTCAGCTAATTGTGACCAGATATTCATCAATCATCTCGAGAATAATAAGGCAGAGATTGTGAGCCATTGAAACGTGTAAAATACTCTTGCTTCCTATTATAGGAACATGCTCACTCTTCTTTGACGTTACGAGAACTCACTCACTTGTTTTAGGTTAAATAAGCGTCTATCGTTTTAACATCATTATCCGAGTTTATAGTTTCCACGAACGAAAACAGATTGCCCCTCGTATTTTTTATCTAAAATATAGAATTTATAATCAAAAGAAGTTTTCTTGGATATAAATGAATAGTACAAGTGTAGACGTTTAAAATAAAAATAAAAGTTTAATTATAACGATACAATATGTTGATATACTGTCTGAGTTTTTTTATTACATTTTTGAACGATATTTAATGATAGTTCATTGCACGCTTCATCGACCGCATTCTCTAATTCACGTTGTGACTTTGCATTCTTATTATAAGTTTTCTGTTTGATAATATTCCAGACCAGCTCAATTGCGTTACAATCAGGACTATAACCTGGCCATTCACATAATTCAATACTATAATGTTCACACCATCGTTTGGATTGAGCACTTCTATGCCATCTGACACCATCAGAAATAAATGAGAAACTATTCAATTTTCGTATATTTGCCGATGAAACTTCATTCACTATATCAACATATTGTCTCATCATAGTTAAAAGTTTATTTTATTTTAAACGTCTACACTTGTACTATTCATTTATATCCAAGAAAACTTCTTTTGATTATAAATTCTATATTTTAGATAAAAAATACGAGGGGCAGTCTTTTTGTCGTTCGTGGTTTGTTATCACCAATGGGATTCGGTTACAGTCGCATTGATAATGTACAAATAAATGCCGATCGTTTCAAAATATATGAACCGATAAGATGCCTAAGTTTTTGGTATAAGGTGTGTCAAAGGGGAAATGCGATAGAACTGCAGGTGCTACTACCTACCTAGTTTTTGACTCTTCTGAAATACTTTCATCGGGTTAAAAATGAGCAGACATTTTGTCTAGAAACTTTCGATCTAGCGGTTACACGAAGAGCCCTAAATTAATTTCTTCTTATTTCTGTAGCTTTTAGCTGACAATGAACATTTAGGGCTTTTGTTGTAAATTCTATAACTTTGCAAAGAAAGGTCATGTAGAGTTGAGAGAGGTC